TACCATTACTTTCTGTAACGACATTTATCTAGATTTAAAATTGATATATATATATTTTGTTTTCTTAAAATCTGCTTACAATAGTTATATTAATTGGAAGAGAAACACTAAAAGAATACCAAATCATTTCAATTTGTTCATCAGGTATACAAAATGTTGAAAATAATATAGATTGATTTTTAGTATTAATCAAAGTTTTTCCATAAAAATTCATACAAGCTAAAGCACAAAAAAAAAGATAATTTACATTAAATAAATAGAATTATTTTTACAATTTCTTGTAAAACCGGTAATTAGATATTTGAATTGAAAACAATATTGATCAGTTGATGATAAATTCATTTTTATGAGAAATATAGATTTTAATCCATCAAATCTCTTAATAATACATAAATCTAATCAATAATATATAGATATGAAAATTTTAATTGAATCTAATTTATTTACGTTCATTTATCTTTTGTTTATTATATCCACAACTATGATAAATATTCCATCCAAATAGAGTCCATTGACAAGATTCATTTGTTTGATCTGGTGAACAAATTAATTTACCTTCTAAAATAATTCAAACTTTACTCTACGTATAATAATTAATTTCTATTAACCTGAATTTATAAAAAATATAATAAGAAATATAATCGACATCATATCTCTGTTTGATACCATAATTTGTACTGTTATTCTTATTCTAATTCTAATTTCCCTTGTTTTTATTACAAATATATTTTAATAAAAAAAAAGAACACAAAAATCACAATCTAATACACAATAGTGAACTTATCCATTTACCAGATCGAAACATACATTCTTAGTATTGTTATGTTTTTTTCTCTTTAATCGGACAAAAAAACAGATAGTTAATAAGGGAAAAAAAAGCGATCAAGTCTAAGTTTGTAAACATTTTAATGTTTTTTTTATACAATGATGTGCATTTAATTTCGTCGATGATGAATTTTATCGATAACATCAGGTGCTGAAGCTACTGCTCCACCTGATTGATATTCAATTGCTGGAAAGAAACCTTTTTCTTTGAAAACAGATCTAAAATAAATAATAAATACATCAATAAATATGATTAATGAGACTAATAATTTACTCATAAAATCGAACATGAGCTTCGAGTTGATTTAATAATACTTGTTGTTGTTTAGAATGTGCTTTAAGCATCTATTATATTATAAATAAATAAAACAATGATAGATGTGAAATTTTTACCTTGTATTTTTTTTGACCATTCTGACAACCATTAAGATCATAAGAAAGACCACGAACAAATTGTTGCAAAAGTGCATTTTTTGTTTTTAAATTGTCTCTATCACCTGTTAATTGTTGCATTAATGTTGGAATCTTCTTTAAGTTATCATGTAATGAACCACTTCGACTATTCGTATCGCTATCATCCAAACTAGATAAATTAAAATATATCTTTTATAAGATTTCACATAATTAATCCTATATTCTACATTTATTTACTAGAAGACAGTTACGGATTAATACACAAAACACAAAAAGAGAAAAAAACTCTTTAACATCAATAGTATTATAAGTTAAGTAAATGGTTAAATGACTAGAGAAGAAAAACCATAATATTACACGACAACACATATTAAAATAACAATTTCATGGAATTTATTATTTTTTTACCACAATTCTGGAATGCCTTCATGAATAAAATTTAATGCTTGATCACAATCCTTTCTTAAACGTTTTTGTTCTTCTTGACAACGAACAACATTTTCGCGCATTAATTTCAATTCTTCATTTAACGAAGCATTTTCAAGACGAAGAACATTTAGTTCTGCATCTTGTTTTGTACACTAAGAATTATTATTTTAAGAATATGTATATATATTTATTTACGAGAAAAATCATACTTTATTATTAAGTGTTGATGCATTTTTAACATTAGTTTCAAATTCACTTTTAACTTGTTCTACTTCATGTTCACGTTTTCGTGCTAAACGTTTATATTCTTCATTTGATCGTTCAAGTAAAGATATATGTCGTTTTAATTCTTGATTCATTTCTTCAACTTTTTCAAACTAAATAAAAATATATTCATATGTTTTTTCACGTAATTTTTAACTATGCATAGATTAAATCTAACCTTTGAAGTCGTTGCCGCTTGTTGATATTTGAATGCTTGTAATTCTGATTGTGCTGCATTTAATTCAGTCTTTTTTTGTTCTAATAAACTTAATGAATTTTTATTTGCTTCTTTTAATGATATTAATAATGATTCGCATTCATTGATCTATAAATATAAAAAAATTAGTTTTATAATTGATTTTTAAAAGAAATGATTTACTTTTCCATGATAGGATGATTCATTTTGTTGTAATGTTTTTTGTAATGTTTCATTGTGTGCATATGTATTTGTTAATTGTTTTTCAAATTTTTGTGCTTGTTGATTTAATGTACGAATTTCATTTGTATGTGTATCAATATCACTTTCATATTTCTCAATCTGAAATTAAACATGTTTCAATAGTTATTATTTAGTTAAATCAAAAGAATACTTTTTTATTAGCATTTGTCATATTTTTAATTAATTGATCACGTTCATGTACTGTATCATCTAATGTATGTTTTAAACGTTCAATAAGTGTTTCAGCTTCGAAATGAGTTTGTGCTTCGTTACTTAAAATAGAATAGAAAAGTAAGAATTCGATAAATTAATCGATAAAACAAATTTACTTGAGTTCTTTACGTAATTGTGTAATGGTAGCTTCTTGTTCATCAATTTTCGTATGCATTAAACCTTCAGCTCGATGAAAATCATCAATTTTACTTCTCATACGTTTTGTTTCTGAACGTAAATGACGATTTTCATTACTTGTTTGAGACCATTTACGTTTATATTCTCGAACATATAAATAAGCTTTTTCAAGAACAGGTTTAACAGCCATAAATTGTAAAATTAAATCTTCATGTTGACTACGTAAAAGTGTTAACATTTTTGTTGATTGTTCAAGACGTTCATCAAGTGTACGAAGTTTATTTGCATCTTCACTTAAATCAGTTATTTGTTCATGTAGTTTCGATGTACTAATAACCCATTGTTCACTTGTTTCAGATGCCTTTCGAACAACAGTTTTAAAACAATTACCAAGTAAAGTTAATTTTCGTTTATAAATTTTTGCTTCATCCAATGATTGTATTAACTAAAATAAATAGTTTATTTATACGAAATTATAGATATATGTTGACTATGTACCCGTTCTTTATGTGAATTATCTGATAATTCCATTTGTTCAAGATCATATCGACATTTATTTAAATCATCATTTAATACAGCATGTTCATCTCGAAGTTTTTCATGATTAATAATCATTGTTGATAATTCATTTTCAACTGATTTTAATCTTTGTTCATGTTCAAAAAATTCTTCATTTGTATATCGATGTTCTTTTTCATATGAATGAAAATCTTGTTGAACTTGATGTAAACGATTCGTTACTGTTGATAACTATTTTTAATAGAAAAACAAAGAAATAATAGAAAAATATTATATATTTGTTTTTATATACTTCATTTGTTTTTTCAGTTGAATGTTGTTTTAATATTTGTTTATCAATTTCATGTTGAACTAATTCATCATGTGCTTTCGATAAATCATTTTTCGATTTTTCATAATCAATTTGAAGACGAGATAAAAGATGATTGAGTGATTCTATTTCACGTTGTCGACTTTCTAATGTTTGAGCATTTTCTTCTACTAATGATTCCGTTCGATTCACAACTTGTTTTAATTCTGTTTCCTATAGGAAAACAAAATATTTTAATTCTTTTTTTAAAACAAAATAAATCCTATACTTTAACAATATGTTCTTGTATAACTGAGCGTGCTTGATTAAGTTCAGTTTTTAATGTATCATTTGTCATTAATGAACTTTTTAATTGTATTTTTATATCTTCCGCTTGATGGATTGCATCTGTTGCACGTTTTTGTTCTTCATCTAATTGTCGTGTTAATAATACAACTTTTGCTGCAGATTTTGAACCAGCTTCAGTTTCATTATATAGAACTTTTTGAATTTTTTCAAGTTCATTTTGATAATTTTCATTTTGTTCATGTATTTCATTACGTTCACTTGTTACATTTGAAAGATTGGATTTTAATTCATCAATATTATTCAATAGAGATATTTCATTTGTTTTTAATGATGCTATTTCACTATTTAATTCTTCTAATTCATGATTAAATCTACGATTTTCATCTTCACGATGAATTTTTATATTTCGTAAATCAGATTCCGAACGTTCATATTGAATAGTTATTGTTTCTTTCTACATAATAAACAATAAAATAATAATCCTTATTACATTAGTTAGTCTCAACACTCCCTTGCTTAGAGCTCTCTAAGATTTCGAAACTATTGGTATCATCTAACAAGTTTATATTGTATTCTCCTTGAAAAATACTTGAGTTCTTGTTTATTTAAGTTATTGTAAAAATGCCTGAAGACTTTATGATGATTGGATATATATTATAAGTTTGCCCTTTTTTTTCTGTAAATGTTTACTTTGTAACTGTTTGCATTTATATGAAACCAGTCCAGAGTGGCAGTAGGAGTATATTTTATAAGACTTCACTTAAAAACGTCTTTTTTTTCTTTTGTTTCATTATTCTAAAATAGATACCTGTTCTTGAACATTTAATAAATCTTGTTGTAATGTTTTGATACGATTTTCTTGTTCTTCTTGAACATTATTTAAACGAACAATTTCTTTTTCTTGTATTGAACATTCTTCTTTCGCATATTTAGATTTTATTTCTATATCATGAAGATTTTGATCATAACGTACAAGTTGTTCTTGTTTAATTGATAACTAAGAAGAAAAAAAGTATGAAACTATTGCTCATCTCAATAAAATCTTCTTACTTGTTTAGTTAATGCTTTTTGTGTCTTTTGAAATTCTTCTTGTTTTAATTTAAATTCATTAGTTAATTGTTGAAGTTGTTCATTCAGTGTTGCATTGGTTTGTTCACGTTCAGCTAATGCTTTTGATACATGACGAAGCTATATATAATAAAAAAAAATAATAATAGGAAAATATGAAATATCTTATTTTTACTTCTCGTTGTAAAACTTTAATATCATGTAATGCTTTTGTTGCATTATCTTCAGCAAATTTTTCTCGATGATGACTTTTAACAAGACCTGTTTCAAGTGTTTCTGATAATTGTGCAACTTCACCTGTTTTATCAATAACAATTTGTTCTAATTCATCAATATGAGATTGTTTATCAACAGTTTCTTTATGTTTTTGTATTAATTCAGCTTTGATTCTTTCCATTTCTTGTTCATAATCAATTAATGTTTTATTACGTAAATCAACTAATGACATTGTTTCAAATAATTTTGTTTCAAGTAGATTATTTTGTGAATTTAAATCACTGATTGTATATTCTAATTGTTCATTATTCGTTAAAGCTTCTTGTAATGTATGTTGAACTTTTTCAAGTTGTTCATTTGATAATTGAATTGTATCACGTAATTGTTGTTGTTCATCTTCAATTGTAGCATTTTTATTTTGTTCAACAGATAATTGTTCTTGATATGTACGTACGACTGAGGATTGTTTATCAAGCTAATAAAGAAAATTTTGTTTGTAGAGACAGTAAAATCTGACATTGTTACTATGCTATAACATTATTATTCTTATTGTCTACTTTACACACTTTTAACTAAGACTTGCTGATTGATGCCGACATTTCTATTATCTCAAGTAGTTTAAGAAAATGCATTTTTTGATTGTTTGAAAAAACCGTTTTGAAGTAGAAAATAACAAAAATGTTGACCTTCACAATCAAAAATACATTTGGTTTTACAATATATATAGGAAAAACGTCATAATGCTGTTTCTCAAGGAATCTAACATACTTCATCATCTTTTTCTTCACATAAACGTTTTAATGCTCGAATATCTGTATGTAATTGTTCAGCATCTGTTGTACTTGATTGAAAATGTTGTTCTAATTGTTCATCATGAATTTTCTTTAGAAATCGAAGATCTTGTTCAAGTTTATTATTTAATGATTCTTTCATTTTAATCTAAAAGTAAAATTCAAATAAATAAAAAGATGTTTTTCTTTGTTATATTAAATATTTACTTCAGATAGAAGTCCATCCATTCGTTTTTTCGTTGAATTTAATTCCTGATCAAGTTTTTCATACTCAGCTTTTGACACAGTTGATTCAATAGGTTGAATTGGAATAGTTGGATAATTATTCGATGTTATTTCTCGCTCAAGATTACGAATTTGTCCTTCTAAATCAGCTGTTATTGAATCTTTAACACGACACTATTCAAAGAAAATATAATTTCATCTTACAAATAAAAATCTATTTTTTTATACTTGTCGTTGTAAATCACTACGTTCATTTTCTAATTGAATTTTTTCATTTACAATTTGTTCAATCTGTTGTACATATTGTTCAATTTGTTGTTTTTTTGTTTTAATATCATTATTAAGTGATGCAGTTGATTCACGATGACGATCTGTTATTGTTTTTAATTTTGTTGATAAATCATGTATATGTTCTTCAGAACGTTGTTTATTTTGTTTTAATTCTTCTTGAATTTCTTTTAATTCATTAGTTTTAAGACGTATCTAATAGAAATTATAAATAGAATATTTTGAAAACAAAAAAAAAGAACTCCGATGTTTCTTACATCCATTTTAAATGTTTCAGTTTTTTGACATTCTTCAGCAAGTTTTGCACGAAGATCATCAACTTTTTTTAAAAGAACCATATTCTTAAAACATTAGGAAAAGTCGTAAAGTTAAAAATAATAAGATTATATTTTCTACCTGTCCTTTCGTGTCATCATCTCCCATATATGGAGTATGTTTATTCGATGCCTTAATAAATACAGTTGTACATATATAAATGGAAAATAATGAAATAGTTACTTGTTTAGCTAATTCATCTTGAGCTCTTTTAAGTTGTTCAATTTCAGCTTGTAATACTTGTATACGTTCATCACGATATTGAATTTCTTTATGTAATGGAATTGTATTATATAGTTCATAATTTGTTACACCAATAATAGAATCCAATGGAACAGTTTTTAATTGAAGTCGTTTTGTATCCCATTTACCTGTTCGTTTAGCTGCATTAATAAATGATGTTAATGAATCTAAATCATGTTTTAAATCAAGATTTTCATGACTTAATTTCCATTTTTCAGATTCAACACTCTTAAAAACAAAATTCAAATAGATAGATATACATAGTGTCTTTTGCACTTACGCCAACCGTCTTCGATACATCTGATAGATGATGTTGCTAGAAATGGAAATAATATTGAAATAGGACATAGAAATTATTGTTTAACATACTTGTAAAGAAACATGAGCTTTTTTTAATTTATTTTCAAGTAAAACAACACGTTGATTAGCTTCTTTTTCAAGTTCGTCTAGACTTTGTAAGAGTAAACGTGTTTGTATTGATAAATCTTTTACATAACTTTCATAAACAGCTAATTTTTGCTACAATATAAAAATAAAAATTATAGTTGACAAAAAGATCAAGTTGTTTTCTGAAAAAATTTCAATTGTTAGTTTTTATGAAAACTAATTTATAAGTGAATATTTAAGATGGATTCTTCATTCTAAAGCTCGATTTTTTAAAAAACAAATCATGTCATACATTCCTTCAAGTGGAAACCTTAGACGCACTTCTTTTGTTCGTCAAGTATTATTACAGCGTTGCATTTTGTTGTGCTCTCATAGGGTGATTTTCAACAAAATGATAGATTATCCTTAATCTATATATATGATAACGTTTCATTTTTTGTCTTAAGAAAAAAATTGTACAGATTCAAGTTTATATCTTTTCTCTAGCGAATGAGATTTTTAAAAAGAAGAATAACGTCAAATAAGTAGTTGATAAAATCATATACCTTATGACGGTCATCAACTGCAATATGTTTCTCATCAATACTTGTCAATTTTTTCACATAGCGATTTTGAACTTCTTCGAATAAGGTGGCAACATGTTTAACATTGAGATTTTGATTTGTGCATGTTGTGTTACTCATTGAGAAAGAAAAATAAAAATAGAAATTTGTGGTTTAATTTGAGAAGGACATATAAATATATATGGTTTCTTATTCTTCAACTCCATTCTCTCGATCATTCCTTTGACTTAACCTCTATATATATTCATAATGCATTCTTAATTAAATGCATTAATGTGTTGAAAATAAAAACGTATCTTTATTTTTAACTATAAAAAGAAAAATGTGATAATAAAAAAGAAAAAAAAATAATTTATTTTTATTATTGATATAAATAGAATTAATTTAATGAATTTAATTTAAAATATATATAAATAATAAACATGCAGAACGAATCAACTTTTCCCTTTTGCTTTTCTTGTTGTGTTGTGTACTAGATTGTACTCAAAAATTGAAGTACTATTTTTTATTATCCAGATTTTTTAGATAATATTATCTGTTTTTCTTTTTGTTCATGTTATTATTGTTTCAATCATTAGAATTATTCATTTATAATAAACAAACTATTTCAATAACTTGTCGTTCTATTTATTAATATTGAATGGCTAGAAAGAATTATTAAATATAAAAAATTTATTTTATTATTATTATTGTATTTGAAGAATAAAAAAAGATGACGTCGAAAAAATCGAAAAAAGGCAAGACTATGGCATTGAATGAGTTTCTTTCTACAGACCAAAAATTAGTTACTGTACGAGCAAACTGGTCAGAAATAGTTGATAATGAAGAAGCAGAAGAAAAACCTATAGGTAATAAATCAAAAAAATTTAGATATATGATTTTTTTCTTTTTTTCTTTTTCTTCGTTTAGTTATTGATATAGGTGGTTTACCTACAGCACCTCGAGGCGCTGTTGATATTGATTATAGTAATCTACCAAACAATCCTCCATTTGTTGCCCATATTGCTAATCTATCATTTGAAATTGATGATGAAGGTTTACGAAGAATATTTGCGGATTTAAATGTATGTAATTAGTGTAATTTTCTTCATATCTTTCTATATATATTTCTTTTTTATTTAGCCAAAATCAGCCCGAGTAATGAAAGATGGTATGCGTAGTCGTGGTATTGGTTTAGTTGAATTTGACACACGTGACAATTTAATCGATGGTTTAAAAAGAACAGATAAAGAAGTCTACGGACGTAAAATACGTGTCAGTGTTTCGGATAAAACAGATTCACATCAATCAGACGGTGGTCGAGGAACATTTGGTAATAATCGATCGAATCGTAGTGGTGGTGGTGGTGGAGAAGAACGACCAGAAATGTCTGAGAGATGGGCGAGAGTTGAACGTAAATAATACTTATTTTGTTTGGTTTTTATAATATAAACAAGAATATCGAAATATTTTTAGCTCGATCTGATGAAACATCTAATGATCGACCAAGTGGTGGATTCAATCGTGACAGACCAAATCGTGGTGACCAAGGACGATGTATGTTATATTCTATTTTATTTGAAAGGAAAAAAAAATTCTCAAATACTTTTTATAGCAAATATGGGTGGTAATTCACGAGATAGTCACGGTAATGATTTTGGATTTGGTTATCCACGCACGAGAGATGAACGAGGAGGAGGAAATAGTGGTGGAAATCGTGATTATAATCGACCAGGACAACGTAATCGTTATAATAATGATGATGATAATCGATCGAATAGTGGAGCAGATAGACCACGTTATGCCGGTCGATACAGTGACACACGGTAAAATATTTTATATATATATATATGTCATTTTTATTTTTTTACAAATTGTATATTAGTGATACTCGTGATCGAGCCCGACCAACTCCTGGTAATTTATATGATTTCTTTTCTCTATTAATATAAAACTTTTATTGTATATAATTAGATGAAGCTAATACTACTACTACTGGTGATGATCCAAAAGAACCACCACGTGAACGTCAACGACTTCAACTTCAACCACGTACAAAACCACTCGAAGAATTTGAACCATTATCTGGTTCATCATCATCTATTAACAATGTTGCTGCTAATGCTGCACAATCATCAACAACAAATGCAGATGATTCATCATCATCTCTAGGAAATACGTCTATTCAACAGACACAAAATTCGTCAATAAACGAAAGTCGAGATGAATATCAACAACAAGAATCTCGAGATTCAAACGATCGAGTAAATACATCCGATGAACAACCAACAATAAAACCATCACGTCCTGCTGGTGCATCTATATTTGGTGGAGCTAAACCGGTGGATACAACTGCCAGAGAACTTGAAATTGAAAGAAAAATAAAAGAACTTCAAGTGACTAGTAGTGAACCATCGGGTGATAATGAAGAAAAACCGTCTTCCTCTAGGCCATCATATAATCGTGCTAGTGATCGAGGTAATGATCGTGGTAATGATCGTGGTAATGATCGAGGTAATGATCGAGGCAATGATCGTAATAATGATCGAGGTAGTTATCGTGGCAATGACCGAGATACTTACCGTGGTAAACGTTCATCACAAAACGATGATCATCGTGGTCGAAGAGATGATGGTAATATAAATATTTTTACATCGTAAATTTGAAACCTTTGTTTATTTATATAGATCGATCTGGGCAAGGTGGAGATTATCATCATAAACGAGAATTCAGTGGTATGTGTTATTAGAGATTATTTTTATATCAATAATCATTACTATAATTATAGGTGGCCGACAGTTCGAAGATGAAGGTCGAAAGCGTAATGATGACGAACAACCACCTCGTCGTGGCGGTTTTGATCGAGAACGTCATGGTGGTCCATCCCAACGTGATCATGACTCCGGTCGTGGAAATAAATATAATTCACAAAATCAACCTGAACGTGGTATAAACGAAAATTATTTTTCTTTTTTTTTGATTATTTTATTTTCTTTTCTTTTATATTTAGATACTGAACGTGGTAATAATCGACAACGTGATCGTGAAGATCGTAATCCTGATCCAAATGAATTTAGTACTTATGGACGTCCATCAAATAATAAATTTAATGCTGAATCACAATCTCAACATCCGCCACGGTAAGAAATTTTATTTTATAATTTATTTATTAATTGAAAAATTTCTATTCTAGTGGAGGTGGCCGACGAATAATACAAACCGATGATAATTCGAATAAAGTAAATAGAATAAATTTCATAAGTCTTATATAATTAAATAAACTATTTTTCTAGCTTCAATTGTCAAATAAATTTGGTATGCTGCTTGATGACGATGCACTTGATGATGACAATGAAAATGAAGATGCTCAAAGTCCGAGTATTGAAGAATAAATAATCATTAACATTCTATATTTTTTTTCCGCCTAATTTGTTGTTTGTTTGTTGATCGTTATTTTAAAAAAATCAAAAAAAGACATAACATATTAATACAGAGAGAGAGAAAGAGAAAAAATGTTTATCTTTTAATTTTGCAAGTTTGGTTTTCTTTATTTTCTATTTCATTATTCGCTTGGGTTTTCGGGTGGTGGTTGTTGTTGGATCTTTTTTCCTCTTTCGCATATGCGCATATGATGAATTTTTTTTTCATTCATTTCCTTTTCTTTTTTGTTTGTTATCGTTATAACCTTTATTTTTTTCTCTCTCTCTCTCTCAGTTTTTCTTTCATAAGGAAATTTTCTTGTTGTTTTTTGATGATCCATTCATCTTCTTCGTTTTTTCTCTTTCATTATTATTCAAATAAACAAACTAACAAAAAAAATATATGATTCTATTTACTTTTCATTGTTTTGTTTTAGATTATTATATATTGATTTTTTTTGGTTGTTATAATTATGTAAGTATAATATAAACATCTGAAAACATTGATTCATTTTATTGTATTTTAGATCGTTTGGATCAAAATTGCATGTTTATTTACAATCAACGACAATAGAGTTTTTGTCGTGTTTATATTTTGTTTTCTTTTTTGTCTGATCATTTGTTTTTTTAAATTACGTTATTTATTATTGTTCAATTAGATTCCAATGAATCTAAAATTACGATTTATTCAAATGGTTTATATGTATTGTAATTGTTCTTAAAGATTATTTATTTCTTTTGTTATTGATTCTTCTGTTGTTGTACTTATATTGAATTTGTCTATACACATATATATATATCTATATCTATTCCTTATTCCGATGATGAGAAACAAGTATTTCCACATAAGAGGTAAAGTAGATAACAGAATATATCAGATTAAAAAAACACCAACACTCTATGTGTATGTGTGTGTTGTGTGTGCTATTCTTTTTTAATGCTGCTTGATAAAAACTACAACTGATTTGTATCTATTAATCCACTGATGATTATTAAACAGTAGATTTTTCTTTTGAATAGAAATGAAATTAGTTTTTTTTTGTTTTTATTTTTATTTTTGTAGAGTCTACTCCGTTTTCCTGTCAAGATCAATTCGATAACGGCTGATGGAAACAAGAGTATCACGTTTACATTCAAATTCATCATCATTATCACGTTCTCGTTCACCAATATCAAATAATGAAAGACGAAGTATTTCAGCATCACCAAGACGAAAATCATCAACACCAGTTAAATCATCAACAAAGAGAAATCATAGTGATGAAGAACAAGATCCGGAAGATCGTGAACTTTTAGCATTAGATGATTCTTCAAAAAATAGAGTTGATGAAACATCATCACCAATAATGTCAGATACAGATGAAAATCAACAAAAAAAACGTTCACATCATCGACATCATCATCGTCATCATAAACCATCTAAATCAACTAAACGTTCAGCAACACATCAGCGACAATCAGTTAAACGAAGGTACTTATCATGAATAATAATTTTTTCTTTCCAAATTAAAATACCATTTATTTTTGAAATTTTCTTAGTAAAAAAGAAACAGTGTCAACATCTCATCATAATAAATCTGATGGTGAAAATTCTATAAATTCACCAGAAAAAAATACAAGTGAAAGTGAACAATCACCATCTAAACAACAAGTATCATCTTCCGATAATGAATCAAATAATGAAGAAGGAATGATTGAAGGTATATATATAAATGAATATTTAATTTGATTTCTATATGAATTTTCTTTTAGAAAATAATACACCGAGTGAACATCGTAGTCATCGTCGTCATCACCGTCATCATAAAAAACATCATTCATCATCATCAATCAATGAAAGAAATAGTCAAAGTCCTCAATCATCAATAAATGCTATTCCAAAAAATAATAAAGGTACACAATTAATCGTTAATTATTTACCAGCATCATTACGTGAAGCTGATTTTTATCAGTTATTTGCTCGTGTTGGATCCGTTAAATTATGTAAATTAATAACAAATCGTCATACAGGTCATTCATATTGTTATGGTTTTATTGAATATCATACGAAAGAAGATGCTATAAAAGCAATTGAAAAATATAATGGTTATGGTATTGAACATAAAAAATTAAAAGTAGCATATGCTGAACCAAAATTAAAAAATAATAATGATGAAGATGATGATGAGGATGATGATGAAGTAGATAATAATCAGAAATATATGAATACTTCCGTACAAAAAAATCCAAATATATATATAACTGAATTACCAGATGATTTTGATGAAAAAATGTTAAAACGTCTTTTTTCAAAATATGGTGAAATTGTACAAGCGAAAATTTTACGTGATCCACGCACAAGAATATCACGAGGTGTTGGATTTGTTCTTATGACATCAACTCGTTATGCTGAACGAGCTGTTAAAGCACTTGATGGTTATGTACCATCAGGTTCACATAAAGCAATATCTGTTAGATATGCTGATCCAAAAAAAACCGTCACAACATCAGCCCAATCAGGAAATAATAATAATAATAATAATAATAATAACTCATTATCTCGTTTATCAAGTACATCATCTATGGTAGGAACGATGAGATCATATGGATATCCACCTGGATTATCATCATTAACTATGATAGATCCATATTATGCCGCAGCTCTTCATCATCATCATCAACAACAACATCGAGCAGTAATGAACATGTTCGTAAAATAAACAATTCTTTTTAAATCTATATTAAAAAATTATATTTATGTCTAGGAGAGAATTAAGCCCATCACCACCACCACCAGCATCTTATTATGCTAGTGGAAATACTCGATCTTCACGAATGCGTAGTTCATCTCCTGGTTTACCACGTTCATATTCATCTTCATCATCATCAAAACATAATTCAAATATATTAACATCAACTATGACAAATTCTTCTTCTCTACGTTCATCAAGTCAAAATCCAACATCACTTGCTGCTGCCTATGAACTTATATCTAAAGGTTGTCAACAAGCTATTGATCCAAATGGTTTTGTTTTATATGCATTTGGTTTACCTCGTGATTGTGATGAAAATGAATTAGAAGATTTATTTCGACGTTATGGTGATGTTTATCGTGTATATATTGTAAAAAATTATACAACAGGTGAATCAAAAGGTTATTCATTTGTTACAATGCGTAATTATGATGAAGCATGTCATGCAGTTGATTGTCTACATAATTCAACATTTCAAGGTCGAACAATTCAAGTACGATTTAAACAATAGATATGAATCTATATAAAGAAATAAAGTTTTGTTGTCTTTTTCATTTTGTTTTGCAAACAAAAATCTATTCATTGGAAATTAATTTTTTGTTTTCTTAATGAGCAATCTTTTTTTTTGTTCTTCTCTTTTTTTTTGTTTTTGACGCCGTTGATCTTTATTTGTTGTTGTTGTATTATTTATGTGTTTACAAAAAAAAAATAATAAGTTTAGACGAATTAAACAAATAATATTGCAATATTTTAGATTAGATTATAAAATATTCAATTGTTTTCTATTTCTTTATTTTGACATAAGAATCAATAGATGTAATTTTTGTATTTTATACAATATGTAAGTGATCTTTATTATTATTATAGAAGACAATATTATTATAGAAATTCTATTTTTATTTAAAGATCCATGTAGCAAATATTTAACATATTATTTAAATACATCGATAACCGGTAATAATAAGAATAGTACGATATTAAACAAAATTTATTTGACTTCATTGATAATAAATAATCAAATAGAAAAAAGACTAAGATTTATAATGAACAATAGCAATAATCTAACTACAACTGCTACGACAGTTTCTCAGCTATTACATGGATTAGAACATGATGAATCGGTTAGTTCAGCTTCTGCAGCTGTTGATGATGTTTCGAGTATAATGAGAAATCCATGGGATCCATTCCATTGTGCCGATTGGGATATGCAACAGCCAAGTGCAACTTGTATAGCACGAATAAAACGGTAAATTTAATTTTAAAAATAAAAACAAAAAATTAAATTAAATATATATTTCTATTAATTAGAGATATATGGAGTGTATTCAAAGATCCTCCACCGGGCATGTTTATTGCACCGGATGCTGATAATATTACTAAAGTATGTAATAATGAATATATTTATTTTGATTACGAAATCTATTTAGATTCATGCCCTGATTGTTGGTCCATTTGATACGCCATATGAAGGTGGATTTTTCTATTTCCTCATCCGTTGTCCTCCTGATTAGTATGTAAAACATGAATAATAAATCATATATATATATGTATAATATTTTAATTTAAGTCCTATTCGAGCACCTCGTTGTCGTTTAATGACTACAGGAAATAATACAGTTCGTTTTAATCCAAATCTTTATCGTAACGGTAAAGTTTGTCTATCCATTCTTGGGTATGTTTTCTTATCACTTATCTATCGAACATATCCAGAAATATTCTATATAGAACATGGAGTGGTCCGTCATGGTCTCCAGCTCAATGTATATCATCTCTACTTATATCTATTCAATCATTAATGTCGGAAAAACCATATCATAATGAACCCGGTTTCGAACATGTAAATATATATATAAACATCATTTTTTATGAATATTTATATTTATTTTCAAATACAGGAACGTACATCAGGTGATTCAAAAACTTACAATGAAATAATAAAGCATGAAACATTACGTGTTGCTGTATGTGAAATGCTTGAAAATGAATCATCATGTCCGAAACAATTACGGTAAATATTTAATTGAATAGAAAATATAATAAAAAATCATATTGTTTGTTTCTTTTAGTGAAGTAATGATCAAACAATTTTTTGATTTTTATGATTATTATACAGAAGTTTGCATAGAAAATTCAAATAAAGATGGACAAAAAATGACGGTATAAAGAATTTTATATTAAAAGAAATTTTATAGTTGATTTTGTTTTTGTTAGGATCCATTTGGTGATCGTCGTGGTCAATTTGAATATGGAACAATATTAAAACGTTTAAAAAAATTAAAAACAGAATTTGAATCATTACAAAATTTACATAATAATAATGCATCTTCATCACGTTCATCAACATCTTCAATATCAAAACATCAACAAATCGATGCACGTACTCGAGAAATAATGAATGATGCTGCTGCAATTGATCCAAATCCAACATTAACTGATGCTTCAAATCTTGATGATATATTTGATCATGAAGATGATGATCCTGATTCATCAATGGATGATGATGATGACGATGAAGATATTCTCAATAATGAACAAGAAATAACTGTTCCAGTAGATGAATCAACTATTCAAACTACGAAACAGTCAAAAGAAGAAACTGCAATATAATAGAAAAGCTTCTCATCTTTTTTTTTGTACATTATTATTCTTATTCATATTCTAATTATTTGATTTTTTTTTGGTTGATGGTATTATCATTTATAATTATCAATATGAAAGAAAAAATCATCAACCATGCTTTTTGATATTATTTTTTCTCTTCATTTTCATAGATCGATTTCTATCTTATTGTCAAAAACTAAACATAACAAAAAGACTTCTTTTCTTTTTTTTTGCTCCTTATTATTTGTATATTATACTTTTAAAAGAAAAGAATTTTCGAACAAATGTAATATATATATATACATAAGTCTTTATTAATAACAATTTTTCGAAAATAGATTGATTTAATTTAAACAGAAGATTTCTGTACTTGAATGTGATTAATACAAGCGATTGATATATAAGCAATGAACTAAACTAGACATGACCCAAACCCAAACTCAAACTCCCAAACGGTTTGAATCTGAGTTTGGGCCATGTCTAAATTGAACATCCATTTTATTTTCTGTTTATATACAGACATCATGATATAAATAGGTCTCGTCGATCTATGATAGACTTTAACTGTAGAGTGGAATCGAAATATGAATATTTTAAGATTTAGAAATAGTTTCATTTCAGCAAAAAGAATCGTTGTATTCAGTCAACCAAAATAACAAAAGGCCTTCTAATGTTATCTGACTTCGTAGAACATTTTAAATGAATAATGTGTTACTGTTCGTTTGTAAGCGCCCTCTATTGTTATTTTTGTTTAAGAAAATCTCAAGATTCAAAATAAAGGCTTCAAAAACAGAAAATAATTGGTTAAAAACTTGGCAAAATTGAATTATTGCTTGTCTTTTTATAATTTCTTAAATATATATAAATATTCATACAATTCTATAGAATATTTTTTGACAGTTATTTTATTTCATATTATTAGATGGGTGCCTATTTATCATCGCCTATTTGTGACAAAGATACTATTGAAGGTTCAAATGGTGATTTAGCCTTTGCTGCAAGTTCAATGCAAGGATGGCGAATGTCACAAGAAGTATAAACTATTTTTTCTCAATGTTTTTATCTAAAAGAAATATTTGATATTTTAGGATGCACACAATGCTATACTTAATTTTGATAATAAAACATCATTATTTGCTGTTTATGATGGACATGGTGGAGCTGAAATTGCTCTATATTGTTCACGTCATTTACCAGATTTTCTAAAACAACTCGATTCATATCGTGAAGGACGATTCAGTGATGCATTAACTGAATGTTTTCTTAAATTCGATACTTTATTACTTGATCCAAAAGTAAAAGAAATTTTACAGGTTTTAGCTGATTCAAAAGATCGAAGTGACAGTGATAATGAACAAATAGATGATCAATCAGCTGAAATTACTATACCAAAAAATATTAATGAAGAAAATCATCATAATGATGAATTAAATGTTGAAGAAGCACATTTATTACGAAAAGAAGCTGAATTACCTATTGAAGAAGTTATTAAACGTTATAGTAGTGATGAAAAAAATTCTCACTCATCCACGACTTCTAAACATACAACACAAAGCTCTTCAATACATGAACATGATGATGAAAAAACAAAAAGTTTACAAAAATTAAAAGAACTGTAAGATTTATTTTTTCATTTGAATAAAAAAAACTATACAAAATAATTCTATTTTTAGTCGAGATTCTGAACCAACAGATGAAGATAATGTTTCTTCAACAATTAATTCTGATGAAATAAAAGCTGGTGAAGAAAATACACCAGCAGATGATGTTTTAGATCATAAAATTGCTGAAATAACAACGAATGGTGAAAATTCAGATGCAGTTGTATGTTTTTCTCTTTCTTCTTTTCTTTTCTTTTGTATTATTTATTTTTCATCAGGAAGCCAAACCATCATCATCTGAACCTAAAACAACATCAAGACGTTCTCGAAAACCAATTTCAACTGATACAACAGTTAAATCGAAATCATTAACACATCATTTACTTAGCGAAAATATTAATGACTTAGAAGATGATGACGATGAAGAGGAAGATGATTTTGAACTTGAAGGGTAAGTCTTTTAAATGAGTTTTCTCATTATACCTGACAGCATTTTTTATTTTAATCAATATTTATGATGATATACTATTCAGAATTATTATTTTACTTATGTCTTAAACAAATTTATTCATTATAGGTCAGATGACGAAACAAGTGATGATGATGGTGATGATGATGATGATGACGACGAAAATACCGGTGATGAAGACGAAGAAGGAGATACAGAAGAAGAAGAAGAAGAGGAAGATGAAGAAAAGCAAATAGAACCAAGTAAAGCAGCACAAATAAAAAAACTGTAAATAATAAAAACAAAATTTGATATTTTATTTTTTCTATTCATTGTTTTTCTTTCTCATTCTTCAATAGCATGAAAAAATCAATTATGGCTATTTTAAATCGACATACAAAAAAGAAGAAGCATGGCGACGATAGTGAAGATGATGTCAAAGAAAATCAAGTAAAATCTTTTATTTATTTAATATGTAATATTTAATTAAATTGTATAGGATAATGAAGATGATGATGAAGACAATGAAGATGAAGAAGAAGACGACGATGAAGGTCTTGATAGATAATAAAACTCTTAAATTATAATCAAATAGTTTTTGATTTCTATAGATAACGAAAATGATGCAGATTTAGGTAAAATGCTTGATATGAATAATGATCCAGGATCATCAAGTGGATGTACTGCTGTTGTTGCTCTCTTACATGATAAACAAGTATTCGTTGCAAACGCCGGTGATTCTCGATGTGTTATATGTCGTGATGGTCAAGCTATTGAAATGAGTATTGGTTAGTATTATAGATTCTCTTTCTTATTCGTAAATAATTATTTTATTTTTATCAATAGATCATAAACCAGAAGATCCTCCAGAACGTACTCGAATTGAAAAAGCTGGTTATAAAGTAACATTAGATGGTCGTGTTTCAGGTTTGTTTTAAAAAATCTTTTTTTCTTGTAAACTAAAAATCCAAATACTATTCTAGGTGGTCTTAATTTATCTCGAGCTATTGGTGATCATGCATATAAAAAAACTGCTAAATTACCTGCTGAAGAACAAGCCATAACTGCTTTACCTGATATACGTACATTGACACTTGCTGATCAAGATGAATTTATGGTAATTGCTTGTGATGGTATATGGAATTTTATGTCAAGTCAAGATGTTGTTGATTTTGTACGTACACGTCTTGATAAAAAATCTATATCGGAAATCTGTGAGGAAGTAAGTTACATGTCTTAATATTATTCTAAATAGAAAATATTAATCATTCTTATATTTATTAGTTATTTTCACATTGTCTTGCACCAAATACAAGCGGTGATGGTACTGGTTGTGATAATATGACAGCAATTATTGTTAAATTTAATTTTAATCAGCAATCGAAAGTACAATCTAATGAACAATCAACAGTATCAAAATCAACTGAGCATAGTCCATGGTCAACAATGTTTTCATCAGCTAATAATAAACGATCATTATCACCTGAACATACCATAACAGAAAATACAGATGCAAGTATCAAAAAATTGAAAATTGTAGCCGAGAATGGTACAAATGATGCAACATCACCTACAAAAATGGCAGGTGCCTTTTCTTTTAATGCTGCTACCAATAATAATAATTAATTTAATGACGATCAACAGCATTAATTATCTCTATAATAGACGAGAAAAAAAAATCAGAAAATTGCATGTAAATCTATTTTGTTATGTACATGCTGCTTGGGATTGTTTATTCTTTTTTTTTTCATTGTAAGCAAGAGTAAAATGAAAACAAAGAGAAGACAAGTTTTTTTGATAGGCAATTTTTGTGTCTACGGAAAAGAAAAAAAATTATATATTCTGTGTTCTTGTTTATTTTTGTCATTTAACTATCTTTTTTTCTTTGTATTTGCTCTAGTAGAAATATGATGAATTATAAACTCTTGCTATAAATGAATTTTATTCTATGAAAAATTACAAAGTAGATTATTACTGAGAAGTTCTTATCGATATTGTTTCATAGGAAAAAATATGCCAATTTTATTTGTGAAAACATCGAAAAGATTAACAAAAACATTTCTATATAACTATAAAGATCAAAGCATGAAACCAATGATAAAGTTTTATACAGTGATCGTTCTCTTATGAAATATACGATATTAATTATATTCAACTGATAAAGCGCGTTTCTTTTGCTTTCTATATAAGCAACTAATTTAGGCGCTTTATTTAACTGACTCACTACAGTTACTTCGATACTAATACAATCACTCTTACTATAACAAATATTCATTCTCAGTTTAATCAAAAAATTACAATCAAATATCCTTCAGTTTCCTCTCTAATCAATTAAAGTAATATTCTGTCATCGTCATTATTCTATTATTGTACTCGAGAAAATGGTTCGATCGACTAATAGCAATAGCAAGAGTACAAATTCTGCTCGTGGTCGAGTAACTAAAGCAAAGAATAGCAATCGTGCATCGTAAGTATACACTCTTTTCTATTATTACTCTTATTATATGGATAATAAATAGAATTCGAAAACGATCATCAACAGCTCGAACTAGTAGTACGAGCAGTAAACGAGCAACTAAACGTAATCGTACACCCTCTTCTGGTCGTGGTACATCTACAGCACGTAGTTCTTCGACTAACAGTAATAATAGACGAAACACATTACGTAGTAGTAACAAAAGTCAATCATCAATTCGAAATGTTCATGGAATGAATAATAGTGCAGTTCGAAATGGACGTTCAACGAATGCATCACGAACACCAAGTAGAACAAAAAAGAATTCGTCAACTACTGGTTCACGAAAGAAAACGACAAAAAATACTAGCAGTCGTTTAAATAATAAAAAGAAGACTACAATAGGTAGCAAGAATAATAATAATAATAATCGACGACGACAACCATTAGGACGTAATCAACAAAGTAATACGAAATTGTTTTATTTTTTATCTTTTAATCGATATAAAATTATTTGTAGAAAAAAAAAAAACGTCAACAAGTATTTCATCATTGATCCCTACAACAGCATCAAATTTAGCTCGACCTGATGATGATTTTCATCGTGAATCGAATTTTGAAACCAATGAATAAAAGCATTCAATCTATAAAAAAAACTACTGATCTAAAACATTGATTTCGTCGATATCGATTTTGAATATTCTTTTTGTCTTGTTTTTTTTCTCCTAAGATCAGTAGTTAGTTATTCATACTGAAAATAAATGCATACAAATCGAACAAAATCATTATTCAGAACAGAAATTTATATTGCCTTTCATTTACCAACGACATAGATAATATAATGATTTTTTTTTCTTGTGATATCATTTGACAAAACTGAGTATCAACAAATCAATTAATTTACATGTGTCAAAAAGACAAGAAAAATCATTAATATTTTTTTGATATTTATACTTTATTGTCCAGTTTTAAATATTGATCATATATGTTCAGGTGACAAATCAATAGTCTTAAAAGTTATAAAGCTTAGAAACAAGTAATACATATTTTTATCTATAACTTAATAACTATTGTTTCATATAACAATTAATCATTATATATCATATAGAAAAAAAAAGTTACTTGATTAGAATTGTTATTTTTCTTTTGCCTGTGAATTTTTAAAAATAGAAAATTTTCAGTCACTTATTCACTATCATTTAAGTTTTATGAGAAAAAAATTCACTTGTATTGCCTGAAGTTATTTGAGTACTTTTTTTTTCTCTTATATTTGAATCCGAGAATAAGTAATGGTTGTCGCGTATAGATCATGTCAAAAAGACACATACACTCTTTTTTTTTGCTCTTCAAGTCATTGTCAATGACCATCCGTGTGGAAATATAGAAACAATGTTTTTCACTTTAGATCGCCTACAGGCTTTACTTCTAGTTGAGTAACTAGACAGTCTATTTTCTTCGTTCCTTTTTTTATTCCTTCTTCTTTTTTTCCTTATTCCTCATTGGTTTGAGTCAAAAAGTGTCTTGCCTTTCTAACAAATCATGGAACGAGGAATGATAATGTGTGCGCATTATGTTGACGATGACAAGTGAAAAAAGCGATAGAGAAGAAAAAAAGTAACCAACTAAACATTTTTTTCATTATTTATTCATTAATATCAATGCGTGCTTGCAATGTAATATGAAACGACTTCAAAAAAAAAGAGAAGAAATGAAGTGTATTTGACAGAATGAACATTTTGTTTCAAAAGAAGTTGCTCGAATGACTAAATAGTTCGATGTATGTATATGAGAATAATCATTCATTGGAGTAAATGGATCTTCAATTATCGATCTTTTCTCCGGGCTGTTCACATTTTTCTTTCGAAAACTAGATGATTAATAAATAATTTACCTGAAATAACATTGCCGTGATGCTTTTATAGTATAAAAAGAAATTCGAGATCGGTTATTTTCCTAATGTACGGTGTGCGCTTACATCTATCAAAAAGATAACAAATCGTCATAAAATGTCTAATCTCTTTTGATAATGTTCGACGAACAAAGAAAACATATGTTAGCGCATGATCAATAAAAAAAAAATCTAAAATGTATATTTCTCTTAGTCTACTATTTTTTGATGCTGAAAAAAACTAACATGAAGAAAAAAACGAAGAGAGAGAGAGAGAGAGAAGAGATAGTTTTCTTTTCTCTTTTATGTTCATTAAATTGTTTGCTAAAAAGCAGAGACAAAAGAGAGTGAGAAAGAAACGGAAAGAGCAAAACGCGTAAAAAAAACGAGAGAAAAAGAAAGTAGTGATAAGAAGTAGTAGAAGATCATTTGAAACGGAAAAGCTAGTGAGACACGCACACATCCATCCGATCGAGTCTCAATCTCTCTAGTCAAGTGTTTAAAAGTAATTTTGGCTTGAGGCTATCAACGTATTTTCTTTGTGTTCATAACTACAAAAGACAATACATATATCTATTGATATATAGATATATATTTCAAAACGATTATGCCAGGTAAGACTTGACGTTGAGACTTTGAAAATTAGTAAAAGTCAATTATGAATATTGATTTTATATAATTACTCTTTTTGAAAGCAATAATATTAATTCTTAAATTTTATAGGTGAACGTTTATTGAATGTTTTATGTGCTGTATGTGGCGATCGATCATCAGGGAAACATTATGGTATCTACAGTTGTGATGGTAATTTCAGAGTTTTATACATATGATAAAAACTTAGAGAATTTTAATTGTTGATCTATCTACAAAACATTAGTCAATGATATAAATTTGAGTTTTGTAGACAATAAAACAAGATATCAGTTACAGAAAATATTTTTGAAAGTGAGCCTTTTTTTGCGTTGGCTAATAATCGATTGGAGTTTTAATAGATTACCGACAACTTTGTTCATCACTTCAACTAAGTGGCAAGAGAATTTCACCAATCAGATTTTTTTTATACTTCTATGATATCTTGCTTTAAATAATATAGTTGAAATAATGAAATTTCTACTATCGAACGAATCATAGAAAAAAAATCTTTTTATTTAGGTTGTTCGGGATTTTTTAAACGAAGTATTCATCGACATCGTCATTATGTATGTAAAGCTCAAGGTGAAATGAAAGATAAATGTCCTGTTGATAAGACTCATCGTAATCAATGTCGATCTTGTCGATTGGCTCGATGTTTCTTAGTCAATATGAATAAAGATGGTAATTGATTAACTTAGATTTATTTCTATTTGACAAAAAATGTTTTTATTGATATAGCTGTACAACATGAACGTGGACCACGTAAGGCAAAACCAAAAATTCTCAGTGTTTCCAGTATGATCTTACCAAGTTCAACAGGACCACCTATTGCTTGTTCATCATCACCAATTATGACAAATGTATCTAGTCTATCAATTTCTAATCAATTCAATCGAAAATCTAAACATTCATCAACACAACAACAACAACAACAATTAACATGTTTACCAACTATCGACAATTATAATTCATTTTCAACTATTATTAATCAAGTAATAACAAAAGAAAAATTCTTTCTTTCTTTTTTTTGTTTTAATCAACAATTATTCATCCATCTGTAATTATTTATTTTCATAGACAACATTATATGAAGCAGCAGCTCGTCTTTTATTCACAATGACAAGTTGGTTACAAACAGTACCTTCATTTAAAATTCTTTCCAATGATGATCAAGTATAATATAAAAATTCTTTTTTTCTTTTTATCTTTATTATTATTATTTAGCGTTCACTACTTGAAGATAATTGGCATTATCTTCTTATTGTTAATTTAAGTCAATGGATGGTACCAATGATGGCCATTCAATTAACTAACAGTACACTTTCACAAGCAGATCAAATTGAAGTACAACGTATATGTGATTGTATTTATAAATTTCGATCACTTGGATTAGATTTTTATGAATATACATATATTAAAACTCTTTCACTTTATCAATCTTCAGGTAGATTTTCAAATGTGACAAAAAAAATAAACGTTTATTTTGTTTTCTCTAGCTAAACCATTAATTAATCAAAATCATATTGATGCTTGTCAAGAACATGTTCTTTTCTTATTACGTACAAGTTTAATGTCTCATTCAGCAGCAACATATTCAGTCAAATTTAGTCAACTTATTGCAATAATTCAAATGATGAATCATATATCATCAAATGCTATACAACGTATTTTTTTTCCAAGTATAACTTATAATGTAACTGTTGGTAAAATTCTTTGGGAACTTTATCGTTCAAAAACAAGTGAAACAACGACATAAACAAAAAAGAAAAGAAAACGAACATACATTCATTTACATTTCTAGTCATTGTTTTCCCTTTCCCTTTTTCTTTTTAAATATAAATAAATATATTACAGAATTTACTTGATATTCAATCTTTTTGAACAATACAAAGAAATTTAATTATTAAAAAGTAATTGTAGCCATGAAATTATTGTATATAAAACCTTCTTCTTGCGTCATCTTATGGGTGAAATTTGTATTTTATTTAAGAACGAATCATATCATTTTAAGTGATTTTACTATTCGTACACATGGCACTTGTTCCTCCTTGATAAAAATTTTCGATATTATTTACTGGAATCAATTATCAGTTATAAAGAACAAAATTTGAGATGAATAATTTAGAGGATCTTGTTGTGAAACTTTTTGATATTGAAGCATTTAAATTTGGTTCATTTAAACTCAAAAGTGGCATTCAATCACCTATTTATATTGATTTACGTGTTATTATCAGTTATCCTGATATTCTTGTAATAGGAAAATTTTCATTATATATTCTCTTATATTTTTTCTTTAAAATAGAGATCAGTAGCTGTGCATATGAATGAAATACTTCAACGTTCAAATGTTACCTATGATTCAATTTGTGGAGTTCCATATACTGCATTACCTATTGCTTCAGTAAGTGAAGAAATAATCTGATTTTTATTTTAAATTTAATTATTTGTATGAAAGATTATCTGCGTCGATTATAAAAAACCAATGTTAATTCGAAGAAAAGAAACCAAAAATTATGGAACAAAAAAATTAATCGAAGGAAAATTCAATCAAAATGATCGATGTTTAATTATTGAAGATATTGTTACTAGTGGATCAAGTGTTATTGAAACTGCAGATGTAAATCTAAGAAATATTTTCATTCCAAAAAAGAAATTTTTATATATATTTAATTCTAGAGTCTTCGTGCAGAAGGTATACAAGTAACAGATGCTATTGTCTTTTTTGATCGACAACAAAACGGGGATAATAATTTAAAAGAAAAAAATATTCGATTACTTAGGTAATATATACATTTAATTTTCAAAAAGATTAATGAATAAGATTTTTATATTAGAGTTTTAACAATTACACAAGTTTTAGAATATCTTGTTAAAAATAAAAGAATTACTCAAGAAGTTTCAAATGATGTTCAAGAATTTATACGTCAAAATCAAACTGAATTACCTGCATTGAAGAATGGAATTATTGAAATGAAAAGTTCATCTATTCCTATTCGTCAACGATTTCAAACAATTAGAGAAGAAAAAAAAACTAATCTTTGTTTATGTGCTGATTTAACAAGTCTTGATGAAATTATTGAAGTAAATATTGATTTTAAAAAACCTTTCTCTCTCTATATATATTTTAGTTATCGAAACAAGTGGGACCAAATATTTGTATGTTAAAAATACATTGTGATATTTTAAATGATTTTTCAATGGAGAAAATTCAACAATTAAAAAATATTTCAAGAACATTTAATTTTCTTCTACTTGAAGATCGGTAATTAAAAGAAATATGTTATTTTCTTTTTTGTGTAAAATTAATTATTTTATAGTAAATTTGCTGATATTGGTAATACTGTCCAATTACAATATACCAAAGGTCTTTTTCAAATTGCTACATGGGCTGATCTTGTCACAGTTCATGTCTTACCTGGTGAAGGTATTGTTCAAGCTTTAGAACAGGTTAGGATTATTTTTCTTTTTCGTATACGAAATAATAAATATCAATTTGAAATATTAGTCAGTTCAATCAATCGACGAGCCACGTGGATGTTTATTAATAGCACAAATGTCATCCAAAGGTGCTCTCACGAACAACGAGGATTATGTTAAAGGTTTGCCGACAAAACTTTACATATTTTTAAACAAGATTTTTTCGTTTTGTTCGTTCTTATACAGGTGTAATTAAATGTGCCGAAAAATATCCAGATTATGTTATTGGATTTATTTCACAATCACGTCTTACTACTGATAATAAATTTATTCATTGTACTCCAGGTAAATTAATTAATATTATTGAAGATTATATAATGAATTTTATTATATTTAGGTATTCATTTGAATAATACCGGTGATCAACTTGGTCAACAATATGTAACACCAAGACAAGCAATTGATGGACGTGGTGCTGATATTCTTATTGTTGGTCGTGCTATAACCGATTCAATTAATCGAATTAAAACTTGTGAAGAATATCAACAAGAAGGATATAACGTATATGAACAGTTACGTAATATTTAAGAACATTGTCGTTTTTTCTTTTTGATTTTTGTATGTTTTATTCTATCGTAAATAAACTATGGTAGAAGGAGGGAGATATCCTCATTTGGTTATATGTCATATTCATTTTCGAGGTCAACACATGTGTTTCATATATTTTTGCAATTCAATGAGTTGTCGTCTCTCTTATGTAAAGAAAAAGACAAAAAAAAGAACCGTGATCTTTTCGTTTCTTAATCTTGACTTATTTAAAATATCGTTCATCAAGTTTTGTATGTATTATGTTCACATATAAATCACAAGCAATGATTATCTTTAGTTTTTATTTTATTTTCTTATTTCATTCAATAAATGGACAACAAGGAATATATAATATGTTTATGCCAGATTTACCTCCATTACATCCTCGTGTACCATCGTCATCGAATTCATTGTTAACTCGTGAAACTCATACATTTACAACACGTTCATTTACAAAAATAAATCTATCAGGTGGACCATTTAATGTTAAACTTTATCATAATATAAATTCAAATGATAATTATACATCGGTTGAAGTTGAAGCTGAACAATCTTTACATAAATTAATTTCAATTGATATTATACAAAATGATATACTTACAATTCGTATGGTAGAAAATTTAAATCTAAATAATAATCATACAAATATAACATTAATAATTATATATCGAGAATTAACTGAACTTTATATTGATGGATTAATTAATGTACAATGTGTTAATCAAATACAAACACATATGTTTCGTTTACATCATCGTGGTACTGGTTCAATAAAATTAAAATTACATGTTAATATACTTGATGCATATCTTCATTCAATTGGTCGTATTAAATTATGTGGACAAGTGAATGATGATGCTATATTAAAATCATTAGGCGTTGGTGATGTAGATTGTCGGAATTTATTAACAAAAAAAATCAATGTGATTTCAAGTGGAATTGGAAACATTTATATAACAGCTATTGATGAAATTAATATAACATTAAGTGGTATTGGTACTGTTTATTATTCGGGTCCATTAAAACAACAAATTAAAACAGGTTTAGGAAATATAATGGAAATGCCGATGAATGATCAACAAATATTCAATCAAGATTTAGATTAGAATAGTTTTATATATATATTTTTTTTGTCTTTTGTATTTATTTGTATTCGAGCCAAAAATTTTCTTTTTCTAATTGAAATATAGTTTCTTCTTTATTCTTATCAATGACCTATTCACATTTCATAAAAATCATTATTTAGCATGCAAGCTGTTCTTTATTTATTTGTTACTAACATCGACACATATATCTATAAATATAAGTAAGAAAATGATCTAGCTCGTCGGAAGATAAGAAAAAGAGAAAAGAACTACAGTCGAATCCAATGCGACGGAAAATGTCGCGCGAACGCACACGAAGAGACCACCATCTGGCTCTGTTCTTGAGACGACGACGCTGATAGATGCGATCATAATGACGAGTGAGAAAAAGAAGGAAGAGAAGCAATTCGGAACTCTCTCCCTTGCCATTGCCATCCCGCTGAGACCGTGGATCGTATATGTGTTCTTCTCTGGCACACATATAAACACACATTGAGACAGACGCAAACGATTCAACAATGCTACTGATAAGACTGCCGGCAGAAATGCATTCTAAGTTGTATTTGTCTCTTCATTCATCTCAAATGGCAATATATAAGGATGATGATAATCACTAACATCATGATAATATTATTCTTCCTATTTGATAGATGATTGTTTTTAAATAGATACATTATATTATCGCACTATTTTAGAATAAAAATATACAATAAAATAGAAAAACGATACAATCAATAGATAATCGTTAATATGCATCGTACACATTCATCAAAACCTTATGATATTTTACATGGTATTAATTTTTCTACGAATACATCATCAATATTTGCTTATCTCAGTTATTTTCCACCGCCACCACCTATTATACCCGGTCCACCACCTCAACGTTCTTGGACATGTTCAGCTCATTCCTTATTATCAACATCATGTTTTGTATCGGACGATTTAAATCCTCCTGGTTTACGTACATTAATTCCAATAGTTGGTAAAAATCAATCTTCATCTATCAAAAACATATCTCTTATAGACGAACCTACGCATCAAAATTCTAAAATACCACCAATATTACAATTTTTACAAAATCAAATAACAGTTATTCTTCTATTAATTATAGTATTAAGTATATTAATCTTTATTATATTATTCTTTTTATTATTTCTTTATATTCATCGTATACGACAAAGACAATTATTATCAAATAGTCATGCAGAAACTGATGATAATAATAATAATAATAATAATAATTTAGAATTAAATAATAATAATAATAATAAAAATAAGAAATTTTATTATCATTTAATACCTTATCGTGAAAAAAGAGAAAAACGTACAATGCCATTAAGAACTATACATGATGAAAATAAACTATTACGTTCAAAACATCATGATTCTCCGGTACTTGAAGCTATACCTTTAACTAAAACCAGTGGACTTCATATAAATGATAATGATGAACAAGAAGAAGCTCTTTAATATTTCTTTTTTTTGTCTTGTAAATGTTCATTTCTTTTCTTTTTACTCAGGAAAGGAAAAATACAAAAAAGAAAGTGTTTTCCCACACTTTGCCTGTTCTATATCTTCAAAACAAACACACACACACACACGCACACACGCATACACCCACGCGTACATAAATATATATTGCAATCAATTATTTTCGAATACAAATCATAAGAGCAGTTGATGAATCGCAATCGTATGATTTTAATGTTCGATTATCATCAAGTTCATCGAAATAATTACCAGTTTTTGTTAATGTTATATGTCTTGGATCGAGATTTTCTTGTTTACCAAACAATTCTTTTAATTCATATATTGTTTTATCTAATGTTATACGAAATCGATATTCTTGATTAAGAAATGTTCGTAAAGTTAGACAAATTAATCTATTTATTTTTTTGGTAAAAAAAAATAAGACAAAAGTTATTAGTAGATTTTCTTTTTCTGACTAGACAATGCTTACTCGGATGGAATAGATAATTTCGTTTGTTGATTAGATTTACTATCATTTATAGTAACGATATTTAATTGAATATTGTCACACATTTGATTAATTTGATTAATTCGATCTTGATCATATTGTAAAGATATTTCCACAGACTAAGAATAGACAAAAAAATGAACGTCATTTTTTTTCTTGAAATTTATATACATCTAAATATTTATGATGCTGGGCGAGTTTATCAGTTAAATTTGTTTGAATATCAGATGCTTTTTTTAATAAATCAATTAGTTCCGGTTCGCTTTTACTAGAAAAAAAAATCTTGAATAGAGTAAAAAATAAATAAATGATTTACCTTTCAATATGATAATTTTTTTTCGTTAATTCAAGTTTAGATTGTTCGAGAGTTTGAAGATCGTTTTCAACATGACTAATAAACAAATAAATAAAAAATAATTATATTGACATTTAATATCCGCATATGTTAGTATAAAGAATAAATAGGAAACATTATTTTTCCGTTTGGTAATAACAATAAACATTTCTAACATGCTAAGGACATATAATTCTTTGTCAATATTGCTACAATATATCGTAAATTATATGACATTGATATCAACAGATAATATCCAGAACTTGAATTATTGATAATAATTTGATATGAAAGGAAGTTTTAGTTAAATATATCAATTTTGATATTGAATTTTGTATTTTAATTGAAATATGCTAGATATTTATCTGTATGAAAGATGTACAACTTAATCACAGGCGCGACTATCATCGCTAATCTTTAATTTCTATAGAAAAAGAAATTAATCATAAATATTTTTATTTTTTTTTCATAGAATAATAAGAATTTTTCCAGGCTAATTCAATGTGTCATATTTATTTATAATATAATTATCTATAGTGTTTAAAAATGATATATTTAGAAAAATGAACTTTATTAGTAATCTTATTTTCTTTATTTGACATTGAAATCAATAATATAATTTTATTGATAGAAGATTGAGATGACTTACAGAATATTTATTTAGTTTTGAATAGCAAGAAAAGTAAGCTATGAGTTAGAACCAAAGTTTCTGTACTTTTCTCGAAGTATAAACTCAGAAATTTTTGGAAGGTCTAAAAAATTACACTGTTTTATTCATTCTTTAACCTTTTCATTACAATAGTATAAAAAGAGCTACACCTGTTTTTAATTATTTTTTCTATAGTAAAATTCACAGAAATCGATGTGTGATTTCTTGAAAGCAAATTAAACAGGGTATTCTATGAAAGGGTGTGAGTGTATGTTTGTCTTTTTCTTTGACCCTCACACCCACATCCTCAAAACTATTTTTGTTATTTCATGAAAACATTCAATAAGCTTTATAACTAATAAACGTCAGCAGTTAAAAATTTTTGTTCAAGTATAACAAAGTTCAGTATTACTTATATTTCATATATCACATGCGGAAATAGATAAATCACCTTCTGCATATGTCCCTATTAGCTGTAAACTGCAATTTTCTAAAAGGCAAGATCGGACGTTTCATCACCCGCCTCTTACTCCGTCGCCGATTCCTATCTCTAAAACAACTACGTTTAAAATTGACTGCGTTGCAATATAGAGAAAAAAATTCTGTAACGAAAGGGTTAAGTTCCTTTTCGAATATAGTAAAAGTTATTGAAATCGGTCGTTTTCTAGAGCAAAAAATTCTCTACAAAATGTAATATTCAACTAAGCTATAGTTTTTATCCAACTATCATTACAGTCATTTTGTAGAGTAGTCTCTAATCTATAAACAATAATTCTATAGCGAAAATATAAAAGTATGTAGGAAACTTTTATATTATTCAAGAATTTTTAATCTTACGTTAATAAATTTTGTTCATGAAGTTCAAGTTGTTTAAGTATATCCATTTGTTTCGTTAGTAGAATTGAATCATGTTGTTGTCGAATATTTTGAAATTGATTATAGATTTCGCTTTTTATATTTTTAAAAGCATCTTGAACGGATACTGAAACAAAAAAGAAATTTCATTATATTATTCAAAATTTATTCTTTTATAAAGAACACAACCTTTTAAATCATTTGGACTTGTATTCTGTAATTCATCAAGTATTGTTTTTACTGATTGTCTCATATCATTAATATGTTTTTCATTACAATTCGTACATTTCGTGCAATTACAATGTTCACAAATAGTTAATGTTTCTACTTTATTACAACAAGGACATTTTGCTTTAACAGGTTGAACTTCCATTAAATTATTTAATAAAAGATTATTAGGTAATTCATCTGGTCCACGACTTAAACTCACTGTTTTTCGACATGTTGGACTAAAGAAATCAAAAATAAAAATAATTCTTTTTTTTTATAAATTTCTATACCATGTTAAAGTTTTCTGTTGTACATTATATGTGCCTAATAGATAAAAATTTTAATAAAAGTAAAAGAAATATATGAAATTACTGTTTAGACATGTTAAACAAAATGTATGTTGACAAACAAGAACTTTTGGTGATTGAAACCGATCAAGGCAAATTGCACATTGTAAAAGACTTTCAAGATTTTCAATTTTATAGACGTTACTCATATTTTACAGAAATATATATATATGATGGCATTTAATCTTATAATTTTCTTATCGGTCTGTCATAGGTTGATGATTCATCGATAATTCCTATTGGTTCAAATAAGTAAACGAAGTTCCACTGTTTATTTATTTATCTCAGTATTACAATTGATTGTTGAATAAAAAAAAAAGAAAAGATGGCTAGTCAAGCTAAAAATACATTTGAAATACCGAAATGGTTCGTAGGAAATTTCTATTCTGTTCTATTAATAAATAAAATGATTGTTTTTGTTTATTAGGGCTGGAAAACCTATACCTGGTTTACATTTAGATGTCGTCAAAGATGGAAAATTAGTACAAGTTAGTTGAAAAATTACATATTACTTATCTTATAATTCTTTTTAATCTATAGAAATTAATGATTGATGAAAAAAAATGTTACTTTTTTGGACGAAATAAAGAATTATGTGATTTTACAAGTATGTTCTATTTTCTTTTTTTTAAATTTTATATAAAAATTTCTTTTTAGTCGATCATGCATCATGTTCACGTGTTCATGCTGCACTTCTCTGGCATAAAGATCTTAATCGACCATTTTTAATTGATCTTGGTTCAAGTAAAAACTATATTCAATTATTTTTATATTATTAAAAATTTCGTTTTTGATTTTTTTCAGCTCATGGAACTTTTATAGGACATATTCAACTTGAAAATCATAAAGCACAACAAGTACATATTGATAGTGAAATACATTTCGGTGAATCAAGTCGTATTTATATTATTCGTGAACGTCCACAATCACATGGAAATAAACTTCATCATATGTTTGGTAATAATGCCAATGCACTAAATTCAAATAATGATGCTAATGGAGATCATAATGATGAAAATAAAGATGCAAATAGTTCATTTTCAATGCCAGAATCAGAAATCGAACTTGAAGTAAGAAAAATAAAATATGAACGAGAAAAAAGATAATATAGATTATTTTTGTAGAATTTAACAGAATTTAATACAGCCCATAATCGACGTATTGCACAAATTGTTCAAATAAGTGATTTACCTGCTGCACCAACTGTTAAAAGAAAACGAAGAAATGTTACATTTAATGAAGAAGATGATGTCATCAATCCAGGTTTAAATAGAAAATTAATCGAAACAAAAATATCTTATTTATTTCTTTTAGAGGATATTGATCCAAATGTAGGTCGATTTCGTAATCTTGTTCAGACAACAGTTATTGTACCAAAGGTTAGTTATAAGGAAAACAATTGGTTAAAATTACTAAAACTAGATTATATATTATTTTATTTTTTTAGAAACGTAAACTTGAACATCCAGGTGTTAGTCATCTTGGTCTTGATACAACTCAAAAACATGCACAAGCATTCCATTATTCACAACTTTATGATGCAAATCATCCAATTCATTCTGATACATCAACTGAAGTACCAAATTCATTACAAGCACAACATTTAAGTGTTGCAGCTAAACTTGGTAAGAATCTGAAATAAATTTTGTTTTAAAATATTATATTTTGTTTTTTTAGGAATTTCATTACCAAATTTAGCACCTGATTTACATGATTATGATGTAATGGAGCCTACATTTGCAATGCTTCCTAAGATAACATCAAGTTCATTACAAGCATCAATGAACGAAACAAATAATGGAAGTTTAGAACCAAAGAAAAAGAAATATGCGAAAGAAGCTTGGCCTGGAAAACGACCATCGGGTTCAATGTTACTTGTTAAATAACTAATTTTTCTCTTCTTCTTGTCATTTTTTGTACAGTGGATGTGTTTTGTTCTATTTCTACTCTAACTCTATCTGTTATAATCTGTGCTCGAATTTTGTTTTCAGATGAATTTACATGCTTCATATGATGATAAAGATACGGTTATTCATCGGTAAATCAAGAACAAAAAAATATAATTTTTTTTTAAAATATCGTTTTTTTTCTCTCTAGACTTCGAACACATATAAGTATTCTTGAACAACAGCAAAATTCGAATGGTTATTTTTCTTATGAAGAAACTCCATCAGTTGAACAAGTATGAGAATTATTTTGATATTGATATTTGAAAATTTTCTTTCATTTATAGTATTCTATCGATAGTAGTAATACAAGAGAAGATGCTGCTGCACTTGAAAAACTTTTACAGTAATAAATTTATTAAAAATTTATAAAATTTTCTTCTTCTTTTTTCAAGAAAACGTGAATACGAATTAGAGCAATTACGGGAACAATTAAATGAATATCAACAAGAATCGAATGAGAAACTTCACCGAACAATAGAAGAAGTAAAAGAATAAAAATAAATAGTAACATTAAAAAACTTTCGAAAAATATTTAGTCGAATGATATGGAAAAAAAATTATACATTGTTGAATGTGAACGTAATAAACTTCGTCAAGAATTACAATGTTTACAAGATGAAAATGAACTTATAAAATCTTATATGAATCGTTTACCATCAGAAATTGACTATGAACAATTGAAACAATCATATCGAATACTTCAAGATCAATTAAAACAATCTGATCAAACACTTGTGGAATATCGGAAAGAAAAAATTCAATTAAAAAAACAACTTATTACATATCAGCGGAATATTGATGAACAACAACAAACAATTAAATCTCATGAATCTTTAACGGATAAATCAATGTTAAATGCGAAATGTTTAACAATTGATGAAAGAATTGAAACAGAAAAAAAATTTGAAGAATATAATAAAATAATTCAACAATTAAATGAACAATTAAATCAAGAAAAATTAAATAAAAAACATGATCAACATCTTAATGAAAGTAATATGCGTACTGTTGATTCATTATCAAATGATATTGGAAAAAAACAACAAACTATTAAAGAGATGACTAATCTTTTGCGACAGGTATGTATAATTTTGAGTATCTCAGAGGTACAGAATCTTCCTCGTGCACCCCTGCGCGGGGAGGAAAATTTTTTAAAAACTGCATTTTTCAAAAAAAATTTCCCGGGGAGGGAAGATTCTGCACCCCTGGAGTATCTATAGATACGTCATAAGAATCTCATTCTACTCACATTTCAATAACTAAATATAAACGTTTATGAGTCATCTAACGGGTATCTTAGGAGAAATATTCCGCTTAAATTACGACGTAAATACTTGACATTTTTTTTCAAAAGATAACTTGCACGGCTCTCTACAAAACCTAATGAAAAGAGTTGTTCGGTTGATTAATTATGGGATTATATCTTGTCAACACTGCAGTACTCCAAAATGACACACTCTCAACACACTCTCAACACACTCGTTTTCATATTAATGATTTTATGTCGCTCTTTCTACGTCATACAAACAAAATGGATACGCTATTTTACTTTATTCCGTTCTGTTCACATTCTGAGAATTTTTGATTAAGATTCACGACAATTTTAATTTTATAATCATAAATTTATTATTAAGTGAAAGGAAAACGTTCTCTCTATCATATCGCTACCAGCAGAGTAATGTAAAGCGTTTTTCTACAATGCTTGAGGTGCATAGCGCGAACGACCAACGCGTGCTATTTTGTTGAAGATGGAGCGGTGGAACCCCACAATCATAGCTGAATAGCTTGTTTTAAGCTCTGCTATAAAGAGTACTGGATTCCGTGTCTGGCTTTCTAGAAGAAATGAGATAATTAATTTTCCAAAAATTCGCAATTGAGAGTGTGTCATTTTGTAGCATTGCAGTTTTGATAGGATATAATTCTAAAGTATCTACTCAGAAGTAGGCATGCACCAATTCCAATTCCAACCAATTCCAATACCAATTCTAGAATTGGAATTGGTTGGAATTGGTAGAATTGGAATTGGAATTGGTTGGAATTGGTTAGGATTGGAATTGGAATTGGTCAGAATTGGTTGGAATTGGAATTGGAATTGGTCGGAATTGGTCAAGAATTGGTTGGAATTGGAATTGGTTAGAATTGGTTGAAATTGATATGGAATTGGCTCAAAATGATTAGAAATTGTAGGAAATTTCATGTCATTCGCTAAAACTGATCGGAGCTAAGACTAGATTAGTACGGATCAC